AATCCCAAATTGAAATACAGAAGCCATATAACCAAATATTACCAAGCGTCGGGGCTCAGCTGCAGATGCTGCACACCTCACCAGAGTAACTTCAGAGCTGACTGTGCACTGCACATGAGTCACGCGTGTTCATCTACATGGGGGAACCTTGAGAAGCAGGACTGATTTCAGCGCTTGTGTGTGATGTGCTCCACAGTGCTGTCAAGCTAGTGCAACTACCTGAACAGGTGTTCTAGGGTCACCAGATCAAGAATATTTAAGAAATGCACACCAGGTAATAACACATCTACCACATCTATCATAGCCACCAGAACTTGCTCTTCCCTCCCCAATGAGGACAGGGAGAATCCCCAGGCCTGCCCAACACCTGGACGAAAGGCTCTTAGGGCAGACGACTGCCACCCAATTTCGAGTAAATCAAAGCAAAGGTATACCTGTGCTGTACTGCTCCTCGCTGCGTGTGGTGGTAAGCAGGCCTTCGGACAGCACCGAGCCACAGTCGGCACACACCAGCTGGCTCTGGGAGTACAGAGCGTCGTCCACCACATTAGACGACCCGCAGTCTGGACAAGACCCGCCCGACGCCATCCCCTCTGCACTTTCTATAAAGACAAGCAACCCGTCTGAGGTTAGTTACTTCAGGGCAGCGCTCACCAACTCCAATCCTGGAGAGTCTCAACTCATCCATTTCTAAAGCTCCGTCTTTTACCTATGAGCAATGAAACCAGAGATGTACTAAATTTAGAGGAAAAACTTGTAAGCATTCTTCCAGACATGATACAATACAAAAATAACCATATATGCAGTATATAGGAAATTCACGATTTAGTTCTCATTTGAAGTATTCAGCTAATCCATCAGCAGCCCTCACTTTGGCTCTAAATGGATGCACAACTCGAGTACTCACTGACAGTCCGGTGTTTCTGACGCCTGGGTTTTAGGCGGAGTCTGACAACCAAAAAAAAAACTCAGATTTGAGTCCCGCCCGCTAACAGGAGGTCCGGGTCGCTCAGTTTCAAATCGTCAACATTAACAGTTCAGTTAAGAACACAGGTTTACAACACCTTCCTGCACGACAAGAACCCACAGGATTTACTAGTTGCCTTTAAATCATCATAGGCCTAAGATCTTCGAAAAAAAAATGTTCCTTAGGTCTAGTCAAGATATTGATCAGCTTAATTACACCACAAGAAGTGATGTATTGAAGTCACAGACAGATACCGCGGCACTCGTACGCTGAAATGTCGCACTTCATAATACTACCAACCATGTCAAATATATCTAACAGCAGCTGAAACAAGATTTTATGTTTAATTCTCTCACGGTTGTTAAGGATTCCAAGGCGTTTACAGGAAGAATATTTAAACCACACTGCCAAAACCAAACCTAAGCTCAAGAGACAATGCTAAACATACAATCAGATAAACTGAAATCTTAAAGCCACTAAACAACACACCTTTCAAAACAGTTTGAAACGCCAGCGCGTATCCTCATAAATCGTCCCCTGCGTCCATCGGTCTTTAAATTTAGTTCCCAAACTATGGTTCCGGGCTTTTGTTTTTGCCTTTTTTCCCCTCGTGAAATTCGGGGAAAACAAGAAATCATTTAAATAAATATAGTATTTAAGTATTTCTTTACCAAAAAGAAAGGCATTTTATTTATAGGCCAAATGTCAAGACCTTGAAAATATTTAGACTTGTGTTAGTACAGATTTTACTAATCCAATTTGCTTTTCTTATTTGCCACCAGAGGGCGACGAAATAAAACAGAAAAATAATTAAATATATTTTAATTATTAATGTAATAAAGGAGTTAGTCCCAGAATGTTCCATACAACAAATTCCCATTATTGGGGTCCATATTTTAATTTTTAATGTATCAATGAAGTATTTACACTGTACTGTTCAAGCCCTGTGTTATAGCAACATTTATAGATTTACAATGCGAAACAAAAAAGGCAAACGCAACTGGTTCTGTTTTGTTTTATAAAAAATACTTACAACTTGCTATTTAACATGTTTTATAGAGCTGGAGTTCAGTTAAAACCAATAGACCAAAACTGCATTTACTGCTTTTGTGTCATTTCTAACCTAACAAGATGCTAGAGCCAAACACAGCCAGCCCATGATCAGACAGGTAGATCACAAATCACACCACCTCACCGCAATTGCACATCTGCAGAGTGTTTGCCTGGATTATGCCATGGATACTTTATTTGCTGGATTTGAGCTAAAGTGAACATCTGTAAGGGAAAACATTGTATGGAAGCCAGACCCTGCCTGTCAGCGCTCTTCATTGGGATTGGGACAGAATCCCACAAGACGGCATCTGTAACCTAGTGCAAAGCACGCTTCACAGATGAGTTCATGGGGCTTCCAACAGCGGCTGCACACTACCTTGTGACCTGTCAGGCCTGACAAATGTTAATCAGCATAACGTTATCCATCATGTGTGTTCAATAATGTATTAATGCTACAACAGCATTTGTTTTTCTGTCGACACCGATTCGTTGTCATCAATAGGTAATGTTTCTTCGAAAAGTCGACTCACGCCATTTTCACTGTGCGAACAGGGAAAGTTAATTAACTTTAACATTAAATTGCACATGGTTCTGAAGATGAAGGCTACTGTGGAAGTTTTCTTCTCTCAACACTTTCATGAGTGAATGCTGGTTGCTTTGAATGTAATTTTTCCTTGATCTCTTTAGGTTGTTGGGTCTCTATAAACCGAAAAGGTTGCCATCTTTTTTTCCACAGACGCTGTATTGAAGTTTTACTGAAGATTGCAAATAATACTAGCATTTGCAGGAATGTGTGGGTGTTTTTCTTGCTGAACACTCAACCTCCAACGTCAGACTGCCCACGTAGAAGTTCTTCGGTTATCCTACTGGCCTCACTGTAACCCCCAACACGACCCTTACTGAAAGAATATTTGCTTAGTTAACACCCACCACCATGTAGGATAGAGTCCAATTTTTAAAAATGAACTAAACTTAACCACTCACATTAAGCTTTTTGAGACCATAAAAAGAAGCTCCACAAAACAGTTCAGAATATAAAGTTTTATTTAGATTTAAAAGGAAAAATAGAAAATAGTCATAATATATTAGAAATTCAGTTAATACCCTGATATTCTTTATAAACACCAATTCTCAATAGAGGAATGAATATACATGGAAGATCTATAAAACATTTCAGAAACTAAAACAGACTTCTTCTTTCTAATGCGTTTCATCACTCATCACTAGAATGAAAAATAAACTGTTGACCCAGATCAAATAACCCAGTACACATTTTCAAGGTCTTATAAATTATTGGTTAAACAGCACACTCTTCATAAGCAGAAACAGGCTCTACAATTCAGGTAGTTTCAGACTCAGATTTGGTTCAGAACCTGGAAGTAAACATGCACAGGCACATTAAGGAAAAATCAGCTCCTGAGGTTTTTTAAAATCCAGCCTTGTTACTGCCTGCTGTTATCCCTCTATTCCTTCTTGTCACTACAAACCTGTATTTAAATCAGAATAATTACAAAGTTGTCCATTTGGGGTGAAGCCAGACTTGGACAAGTGACAAGTGAACATTCTTCCTCCACTAAGCATTTTACTATTGTTTTAAAATCAGCTGAATAAGACAGAACCCCCCTGTGGGGCCTCAGAAACAGTAATCCAGCTGTAGTTGGAATATCTTTGATTAACTCTCTAATGTGTTTTTGCTCGTGACAATATGCACATTATCACTGCTACTTGTGCAGACATACATTTGATAAATTAAAAAAAAAAAGACATCTGTACTCATTTCAGGCTGTCACAGGCTGAACATTCCCAGCAAATATTAATTTATGGTAGGCTACACATACTAAAGTATGAAAACAAATGTGCTTTTCCATGCTGTCAAACTATTCCTATAAAAAGGCTGTCTCAAAACACACTGGAAAGGCGTCAGAGGTGGGGAGCATGTGAATGTCATGTTCAGTGCTTTATCAGTGGGTTTTCCACCACAGTGTGACCTTGATGTGCTCTCTGACAAACCCTGGAACTGGGAGCAAGAAACCTTTTCAGAAGAATAGTGAGTTATTTTGCAACCTAAACAACATAAACCAGCTGAATCACATGAGCATACAGGACAGAACAGGAAAAAGCATGATTGTACTTCAAGGCACAGGATTTGAATGTGAGCAATGGGCATTTCCATAATTTAGATATTATGCGTCTCTCTACTGCCATATCTCTTAGGTTTCTGTTGAGGTCCGAAATGCTTTTTAATACTTCAAAGGCCCTGTATCTGTAACCCACGTGCATCCTACATGATATAAGTGCACACAGGAATCAAATTACTTTCTACATACACACACACAACAGTGATATTCCAAAAAACAGTTTTGCAGCAGCGTACGAACTGCTCAACATGAAACCCACATTATAACCATCTTATGCTTCACCCACATTTTCAGACATGTTTCTTGGGGGTAATGCCTCGAATATCCTTACAGCAAACACACAGGCAATCAAACACTGGGCCACATTACCCAAGCAAAGTAGATCAGATCACATGGCACTCTGTTAAAGGAGGAATTAATGCATACTTCCTAAATAATATTTAATAAATGTCTACTAATTGGGAAAACCAAGACCCCTGGAGAGGCAGGTTCAATGAATTCTTGCACAGAGTTCAAAACCAGGGAGACCTGGTGAGAAAAATATCATACAAGACTGTTAGTGTAAGTCATACTGAGCCTTCCATGTTTTATTTAGGCCATAAAGTACAGGAGGCACACCATAGGACAGTAATTACTATAACTGAAAAATTACTCTGACCTGAAAAAAACAGCATATTAAAACTTCAGTAAACAAATAAAAATCAAACCCTTCTGCGAAGTTGAGAGACTTTGTTGTTAAAAGCCTTTTAACTGGATGTACTCTGCACTTCCTCTTTGACACAATAGTACTTCTCTGAACACTTTCAAGCTTTAACCCTTAATTACAGGAGATACTCAAGCTTTCATCAATGAATCCAACAGATATGATATAGTGAACAACAGGCCACCTCACCCCCTGATGGTGTTGAACTAAGTTGGATAACTGGGCAGCAGTACAGTGTAGTGCTTTTAAAGTAGGCTTAACCACACCTTCAAATCATTTTTCAACTAAATCTGGATTTTTGATATACTGTATAGCTCAATATCATATAGAAGGCCATATACGAAGAATTATAAACTTCAAGTAGCAGCTTATAGTAAGCAGAAAATCAGAAGGCTCTGTTCTGTGCGATACCCAAATGATTTTAATAGTAGTGACTGACGAAACATCTAGCCAGCTTCTTGAATAAACATGCAAAACTCAGATGTTAAGCCAAGTAAAGATGTGTCCATTGTGAGCAAAGTAAGGCACTGAGATGGTGAGGATTAGGGGACTCCAGCTGTTAGAGAGCTTTTCCCTCACTGTGATGTAGACCCAAGTAGAATATTGCAGTATTGCATGTTATTTTTTGGATAATTACAAGACAATCTTTTGCCTCAGTCTGGC